TTACTCTCTTGTAACACCTCTAATCTTCGGCTGTTATATGACCTTATTCATATTGTGTTGCAAGTGCCGTAAAACTCTTACAAATACAAAACACACACACACACACACACACATACACACACACACACACACACACACACACACACACACACACACACACACACACACACACACACAAAGTCAGCCACAATCACAGGAGGAACAAACTTAAGCAAACACACACGGGTCGTACGAAAGCGAAGCGGTTCGGCAGGAGGACAAAATGAAAGATCCAGAGCAAACGAGAAACCAGAGAAATTGCACGCGATGCACATACATAATATTTCACACTAGTACACCGAAGCACAACATAATTTCTATTCTTGATGTAATATAGCACCGTCAAAATTATCTTAGTCTTAGACTAAGACAGGTAGACATCTTACACAGTGTCATTACTTCCTTACTTGGTTGGAGAATAAGCATCGTTGCAGGCGGAACAATGCCATAGCTGCTCCTCCCTCCTCTCCAGGATCCATGAAAGGGTCTGCCTGCTGATCGTGCCAGTTAACAGATGGTTGGATATTCTTCTGGTTTTTTTCCACACACGTTGCTGTCTCTCCCCGACCCTCTAGAGACACCAGCTTCCCTTAGTCTATCCATTGTGTGTGAAATGGTGCCTTCATCCTCTCTGTAGTCGTTGAACCAGGCTATCAATGCTGCCATGACTGTAGGTGGATCTGATTACACGGTGCTGCCAATCTCAGCCTGTCCGGCTAGCTTATCGACACGTTCTTTGCCTTGAACTCCTGAAAGGCGAAGGCTAAAGATCCATACTATCCTTGTGAGTCTGCTGCTTTGTATTGCCTCTTGCCAGTATGCTTACATCATGTGTTTCTTCACTTTTTCGAGGGTACTCATCGAGTCGGTGACGAGGATGGCAGACTGATACTCCGTCGTCTTAATCCAGTTAAGGCTTTCTGTGATCACTTTCATCTCCATGCACGTGCTGGACGTGGCTATACCAGTGGCGCCTGACAGCTCTCTCTGAATGACCCTGTTTACACGGGCGATGAAAGCCCATCCAGATTTGACACCACGCTGTACTGATCCATCTGTGAAGATGACTACGTAGCCCTGTTCACTGTTCTCCTCTATCAGCGTCTCTACCTCTGCATTGGCTGCTCCCTCTGGCCACTCACGACATTCTCTGCCTAAGGTTGCTACCACTCGAGTATACTGCCCAAGTGTGTCAGTGACGCTGACCCATGCGCTGCTCCTTCTTATGTCTTGCACTTCACAGGATTTAGCCAAAGTCGTCGCTGCCTCATTCATCCATTTAGCGCCTCTTCATTTTGTAGCTCTCCTTTGCGATCGAGTACCCCACCTCCTTTTCTAAGAGCTTGCTCACGCAATTTTGCACAGTGTTATTATAAGGTTTAAAAATATTTTTTTAAGTACGCAGGGGAAGAAAGCGCAAGTCATCGTTTGCATAGGTGATTGTCTTATACAGGTGGTCGTTAAAGCAGGTGCGACTATAATTATGTTTAACGTTTATTTTTAAGAAGGAATGCGCCTCTGAATCTTGAGACCAGACTGAGGCAGACCGGTATTATGATTAAGCTCTTTGATGCGGCATGCAAAAGATGTGAGTTTGATTCCCTTGCGAGGATGTCTATTTTATCGAGTATCTCCACCCTTCTATAAATGGGGTGCTGTATACAAATCTGTATTCTTCTCAGCCTAGCTTGACCCTGACTGACAAGGGTAAAGCGGACGACCCTATGCGGAAAACCCCCTTTTTAATTGTGTCGAAAGGATCGGGAAACATTCGCAACGATGTGATAATTTATAAAAGTACGAGAATTGCCAGACAAATTTGTTAAATATGCCTAGTCGTGCTGACCATAAAAGTTCCCAACGCTACTGAACAAGTATACTACGGGGCTGGCGATTTAAGTCGCCGACGGTACTAACAGAATGTTTATGTGATTTATGTATAGATTTCAAGGGACATCTTTGGTTAGATGGGTTGTTAGCATATAACACTACAAATAGCAGAGAGCTGCTAAACCTAGGAGGAGAAAATGAAGCAGTGTCGTAGTAAAACACTTTTTTGCTGTTCTTGAAAAGTTGCACGTAAGATACGATAGCTTGTCTCTATAATATTTCCTTTTCTCCAACCTCACTTCACCCCCACCAACTCAAAGTGGGTGAAATAATGCAAGACTGCGGTGTGTGTGTGTGTGTGTGTGTGTGTGTGTGTGTGCGTGTGTGTGTGTGTGTGTGTTCGAGCAAGCGTTGCGTCAGCTCAAGCTACACAAAACACTCCCCGAACAAACAAGGGAAACGCCCTGTGTGAAAAGAGCATGCATGTGGGCTGGAAAGCGCATACTCTTCCTCTTTACTCACCCGCTTTCTAACCCACTCACTTACATGCAACGCACGTTCCCGTTCCCGTTCTACGAACAGGGGTCCCCCTCAGTTCTCCGTCGTTTTCCTGCTTTTTCTCCCTTCCTAT